ATACTTCCCTGATGCCCCACGATGCCCTGATATACTTCCCTGATGCCCCACGATGCCCTGATATACTTCCCTGATGCTCCACGATGCCCTGATATACTTCCCTGATGCCCCACGATGCCCTGATATACTTCCCTGATGCCCTGATATACTTCCCTGATGCCCCACGATGCCCTGATATACTTCCCTGATGCCCCACGATGCCCTGATGCCCCACGATGCCCTGATATACTTCCCTGATGCCCCACGATGCCCTGATATACTTCCCTGATGCTCCACGATGCCCTGATATACTTCCCTGATGCCCCACGATGCCCTGATACACTTCCCTGATGCCTCACCTGTCAAGAATGGCCAATATGTAACGCTGCTGCACCTGGCCATATTATTGCAATTGTATCACGGAGTCTCAGCACGAACTTATCAAGGATATAAATAATCCGTCTCCAATCCCTGGCCACTAAGATTTCACCTACTAGAAATTATCCCTCTCCACCTCGTAGGGGGCCTCGTAGCCTGGTGGATAGCGCGCAGGACTCGTAATTCTGTGGCGCGGGTTCGATTCCCGCACGAGGCAGAAACAAATGGGCAAAGTTTCTTTCACTCTGAATGCCCCTGTTACCTAGCAGTAAATAGGTACCTGGGAGTTAGTCAGCTGTCACGGGCTGCTTCCTGGGGGTGGAGGCCTGGTCGAGGACCGGGCCGCGGGGACACTAAAGCCCCGAAATCATCTCAAGATAACCTCAAGATAACCTATGGTGGCAGCACACTCCACAGGTTTCATCACATGGATTATATTGAGGTGTACAATACCTGCTTGATGGGGTTCTGGGCGTTCTTCTACTCCCCAATTCGTCCACCAGGCTGTTGCTTGGAGCAGCCCGCAGGCCCACATATCCACCATAGCCCGGTTGGTCCGACACTTCTTGAAGAAAACTATCTAGTTTTCTCTTGAAGATGTCCACGGTTGTTCCGGAAATATTTCTTATAATAGCTGGGAGGGTGTTGAACAACCGCGGACCTCTGATGTTTACTGTTCTCTGATTATGCTTAAGGCAGCCATATTGCTTATGGGTATATGCCATATGGGTGCCATAAGCATAACGCCATCAGCCATATGGCTTATGGCATTATGTACTTATGGAGTGTAGACAAGGACAGTCATCTCTAAACTAGGGTGAAAAAGAAAATGATTTATCATGTGCGTGAGAGAGAGACAGAGAGAGAGAGAGAGAGAGAGAGAGAGAGAGAGAGAGAGAGAGAGAGAGAGAGAGAGAGAGAGAGAGAGAGAGAGAGAGAGAGAGAGAGAGAGAGAGAGAGAGAGAGAGAGAGAGAGAGGAGGAGGGGAAAGAGACCCTTGAAGGGCTATAGCCTAGCTGACCAAGGTGGAAGCCCAAAGACAGAATAATAAGCAATAAGTCAATGAATCATACACGAAGCTTTAATTAATACATTTATATTAATCTCTAATTGGGGGAAAAAAAGTTGAAAAATTAACTCCAAATTTAAATTAAATTTTTAATGGGTTTCATACATGTTGCCACTGAGACGAGGAGGTTATCCTGTCAAGGAAACTACTGAATAACCTGGATAGGAGGCCTAGTCGGAGACCGGGCCGCCGGGGACCTTGACCCACGAAATCACCACAAGGTAACCTTGTCCTGCGTTCTTTTTCCTCAGCTTGGGGTTAAACGGTAGAGCAAAGGTCTCGCGTCATGCAGGTCGGCGTTCAATCCCCGACGGTCCAAGTGGTTGGGCACCATTCCTTTCCCCCCGTCCCATCCCAAATCCTTATCCTGACCCCTTCCAAGGGCTATATAGTCGAAATTACTTTGTGCTTTTCCCTGATAGTTCCCTCCCTTCCTCAGCTTGGAAAAGTGTGATGCTAATTGGTTGTTCAAGTTTGATCTAGTTTATATGGCATAATATACTTAATATTACCTGGGCGTTCATAATGAGTGCTTGATATGAAGTGCTTTGGCTACGTCTAACCTTCTGCTCGTTTCCTGCTGTTAATTATGTCGGTGCTGTTGATCAAGATATCTGTGACGATGGTCTGGTTGTGTGTAGTGTTATGATCGTTCTATAAATAACAGTCCTTTCCGGCCTCAAAAAGTCATTTTTACCCACCTAGAAAGATCGCAGACGGCCGAAGGTGCAATATAAGTTAAAAAGGAATGAGCCTTATACATAATCTTGCCTTATATTTGACTGTAAAGGGGTAAATTGTGGCAGATTGTGAAACAAAATGGTGCCCGGGCGGGCGGTGAGGCATCCGGGAACTCCTGGAGTGCAGTTACACATGCCTGAAGCTTATACAACGTGAGAGGTGATTGGCAGGGGCTCAGCCAGTCAGCGACGAGCTTCTGTGACATCTTTGGCGGACACTGAGCCCGCCCCAGGGAGCGGAGCCTGGCTCACTGTTCGGCTAGAGTTCGGACATAGTGACTGTGACCTTGAGCGCTCACGCAAAAATCGGCAAATTTGGTGTCGGGAATCCGACACATACACAGATAATAACATAGTCTCCCTTATTCTGTATTCCCTTCAGGATAGAAAATGGGAGACTCCGTGACGTCATCGATGTCACCGTATATTTACATTATTAAACACTGTTTATAGAACAGTTTGGTATCTAGATTTAACAAAAAAGTAATCAACAAGACTGAATATAATTACTAAAAACCAAAATGTAGCTTGATTCCCTTGTTAATGTAGAATTACTTTAGAGGTAGAACCAACAAACATTGGAACAGTACACAAAGGTAGCGTCACTTACTCACGCTCCCACACACAACAATAACAAACCACAGCCCTACGCTGTACAAGGCTTTAGAGCTGGTGTAACCAAATAGACACCCAAATTACGTGTCAACAACCAGCAACACAGCCTATCAACATCACAGCAACGACAGTATCCGGCTTATCAAGTATTGTATTTGAAATTATAGTGTACACATTTTTTCATTTATAAGATAGTCGGTTATAGGAATGAAGAACCCAAACACAATGTACGTGTACTCCATTTTCCAGCCCTCACACTTCATGTCATACCTGTAATTGATATGTTTAGGGAACTTTGATTAATTCCTTGCATCCCATACAGGTAAATTGTGATAGGAGCAGCAAGAATCTGTGCAGACAGTTGGATCATACACATAATTAACTAGCTGTTTGCCAAGCCTTGTCCCTCCCACCAGCCGTCATTACGTGGCACAAGGAGGCACAGAGCCACACCCAGAGTGATACTACATCTACACGCCTTAGCAGGCACCCCCCCCCCCAACAGGCTCAGATAAGCCATTTTTATTATAGTAGTATTAGTAGTCATAATTAGTAATTATTACTAGTAGATTAGACCACCATATGTGGTATGATATAATAAAGGGTAAACAATTGGTAGTTTAAGAAGGAGCCATCTCAAAGTGGTTTAGGCTACCAATTGTCCCCCCCATAGTGTGTGAGATAATTTCAGGCAGTTTACAAGTACATACAGTTCACTCAATTAATTCTTACTTACTAAGAAAATAAATAAGACAGAACTTTATCTTATTAAAGTCAATTTAAAAAAAGAGAATTGCTGCCTGGAGTTTCCCCACATTTGGATCTTAAGTTACAAGTTGAGCCCAGAAGAAAGACAACAACTCTCCGACCGTATTGAGGTGCAAAGGGGACCTTTCTGCTATAAGGTCATATGAATATCGTCGACTAAGGGACCTGCTGAGAGTGGAAGAGACTCGACGGCATGCCAGATTCAGTGGAGGGAGATGCAAGTACCTTCATTTGACCTTGGTGGGCCAACGTGAATGGACTGACCGTCGAAGCCTAGTGACAGTCCCGACCAGTGAGCTTCAGAAGTAGTAATGACTCAGTGTATGTGAAGCCACAAGGAATAGGGTGTAACACCCATGACCTCCCCCCCCCCTTAGAGTTCACACCCAGGGAAGCCTTCTCCAAGAGGTCAGCCCAGATGACCTCCGGTTTATCTTGTATATTGATTAAAAAAATTCCTGGGTTAGTCCTAGTCAGCATAGTTTCAAGTATGTAATATTTCATGCAAGGGAATTAGACCCCAGATTCTTATGTGTAAACATCCATGGATCTCCCCCTTTTGGCCAGGTCAGAGGTCAGTCACACACGTAATTAATAACTCCTCTCTTGAAGAGTGTATGGTGAATGTCAAACAAGCTTATTGAAATATTTCTTGAGTGTTTGTACACGTGTGGCCGATCTCTTACATTCTTGGGGTAGGTAGCAACAGCAGATCTCCCCCTCCCCCCTGTGGGGGTTGTATATAGAGGTCCTGTAGGGACTTAGGAAGGACAGAGTGCCGGACACCGGGGTCCAGAGAGGGCTGTGAAGAACATCTCAGCCAGGGAGAGACAGAGGTCTTAAGGTACTGTGTGTGATCTCTGAGGTTTTGTTCCATGTCCAAATTTCTTAAATTTTTGCCAGTGTTAGAGTAGGATTTATAAGTGGTGATTGACATAATTTTGGTCTTTAATAAACTCATGTTAAATTTCCCGTCTGTGTCAATTGTTGAATCCTCTTAGCCTTTTGGATATAGTGGCTGACAACCATTTTCATAATTAATGACAGTTATAGAAAGTACTCTCCAAGTCAAGCAATGTTTCTTGCCTCGTTGCTTGATATAGTTTCAATGGTCAAAGGCAGATGGTGGCAGCGTATTTAATCCTTGTGTTAGCATTTCCTTATTGGCAGTGTACCTTTGGTTCCGGTGTAACCATCATATGTCAGCTCACATTACCGTGTTTCATAACAGTGTTATCAAGTGCAACCGATGGGGAAGTGTTACTCAGGATAAGTAGTGTTTACATTATTAGTTTAGTATCCATTATAGTGGTGGGCTCAACTAGTGAAGTCGGCCATTGTGATATCTATCTCCATGGCAGTGAATCAGTGCACTTGGCCCTGACATAAGGCTGCCGGGAAAAGGTACACCCCGCGGATCGACAAAGGTCAAGGGAAATACTGTGTTGACAATGACGTTGGACGCCCCGCAGGACATGTCGAGAAGGTCTGTGTTACCCAAGGTAGGAAGAGGATACGTGTGACGTCAGGGAGCAGCCAAGAATATTAAAAGTCTAACAGTAGGGTACGAGCCACTTCAGTACAAGAACAAAGATTAATTAAAATCGGGGAACGTAGCCTCATGTTCAAGAGGACTAGAGCAGAGAAATTGAAGTCATTTCTTCCGCGCTGGGCGCAAGTGAGGACCCCGATGACCACCAGTAGTTGGATGATTAGGCTACTTTCTGTCGCTCTGGGGGCAGAAAGTAGCCTAGTGAGTTCCCAGAGGTGCTGCGAGGTCTCCGTGTTTTGGGGGCTGGTGTTCACAGTGGTTAAGCGCCGACTTCATCACGAGGGAAAGTGAGTAGAGAGCCGACAACAAGGATACTGTAGAGAGCAGTGACGGAATGTCACCTTTGGAGCTCGACGAGGCTCTCACCTTTGTCTTCCCTGATGACAGTAGAAATGTCAGCCTCTTTGAACCTTATTGTGTGTACAGCGTCAGACACCTTGCAAGAGATGTTGAGATCGTTAGGCCTGTGGGAAATTACTAGCCTAACTTAAATTCCGTTTATAAAGAACAAAAAGTTGAGACTTCGACCGTGTTCTCTATCTGATTTAAGGATCAAAATAATGTGATGAGGTCTACCTAGTTTGATCATACCAGAGGTCAATGCTCGGATGGAATGGACGTTCCATGCCAAAACATATCATACATGGTGCTGTAGATATCATCTGTCATGATATCTACACAAGCTTGTCGAGCCTGGCCTCAGGCCGAGCTCGGGGGAGCAGAACTCTGGAAACCCACTCCAGGTATGCTCTAGGTAACGTCAGTTGGTGCAAATAACTACCAGCGGTATATCTTCACATTCACTGTATATTTCCATACACAATGCAATGAACTAATAGCATCACCAACATTAATTAAACACTTTAGCCATCAACACTGTCGAGTTGAAGGCAGCCAGACAGGGACTATATCTTTCCCTTAGACACTAAAACAACTCACGACTCCTAGTCCCGTATGTAACACAGATCACATATTGAATGTTTGGTGATAATTAGTTCTAATTCCAGCGCTGCGGTGATGAGTTTCGCTCCGGCAGATGTTGGCTCGTCGGGCCATTAATGAGCCTTGGCCGGGAAGTGGGAGCAGCTGCAATACATGTGTCCCATGACGAGGTGGTAGATGCAAGTCTTGCATGGACGACGACACCCAGCTTGGTAAGTCTACCAAGCAACAGCCTGTTGGATCAAGCTCTCACAAATGAAGCCTGGGCCCGGGCCGGGCTTGGCGAGTAGAAGAACTCTCAGAACCCCATCCAGGTACCCTTCGCCATCTTCTCTTGGCGAGTATTCATAAATGTTAACTAATTATTAGGTTTGTTGAATATTTTTCACAATGTGAAAATTTATGTTCCTGGGTAATGTTATTGCATATTTGATTATTCTTAAATGGTATACACAATACCTGTTATATTCCCATCAAATTTTGCCTTTGTGACCAGGACACCGATTTTTGTTTTAATTGACTAAATTTTCACGATAAAACGGGAGAATTTGTGTCTTTAACTTCACATAAATTTAGAAGAAAAAACCCATATGAATCAAAATTAACAATGAGACCAATGGTGGCCTCGCCACTTGCCAGGGGTCCTCCTGTGGCTCCTGCGTGGCACTGCTCCTCCCCACAGAGAACTCTGCCCTCTGTGCCACAGTCTCGCCTGTGGCAGTGCGCCTCGGAGCCCCAGAGGCAAAGACAGGTTGGGGGAGGGGGGGACTCTGTAAAACTAACTTACAGACTCGTCAGAAATGCCACCCTTCTCTCGTCAGACTCGTCAGGAATCGCTGGGTATTTAGGTTACATACTGACTTCGGGGACCATTCAAGCTTCAGCCTACAGTTTAGACCTATTGTCTTGTGTATGAGCCTCTGTCCTGCGTGACAGTGAATACCAGCATTATCCTCACTCTAATAAGACCTAATTGAATTCCTCAGATTAGGCAAAATTGTAATTAAGTTTTGTCAATACAGATGTTAATAATAATAAATCTTTGCAGATATATATATATATATATATGTATATATATATATATATATGTCGTACCTAGTAGCCAGAACTCACTTCTCAGCCTACTATGCAAGGCTAAATTTGCCTAATAAGCCAAGTTTTCATGAATTAATGTTTTTTCGACTACCTAACCTACCTAACCTAACCTAACCTAACTTTTTTGGCTACCTAACCTAACCTAACCTATAAAGATAGGTTAGGTTAGGTTAGGTAGGGTTGGTTAGGTTCGGTCATATATCTACGTTAATTTTGACTCCAATAAAAAAAAATTGACCTCATACATAATGAAATGGGTAACTTTATCATTTCATAAGAAAAAAATTAGAGAAAATATATTAATTCAGTAAAACTTGGCTTATTAGGCAAATCGGGCCTTGCATAGTAGGCTGAGAAGTGCGTTCTGGCTACTAGGTACGACATATATATATATATATATATATATATATATATATATATATATATATATATATGTCGTACCTAGTAGCCAGAACGCACTTCTCAGCCTACTATGCAAGGCCCGATTTGCCTAATAAGCCAAGTTTTCATGAATTAATTGTTTTTCGACTACCTAACCTACCTAACCTAACCTAACTTTTTCGGCTACCTAACCTAACCTAACCTATAAAGATAGGTTAGGTTAGGTTAGGTAGGGTTGGTTAGGTTCAGTCATATATCTACGTTAATTTTAACTCCAATAAAAAAAAATTGACCTCATACATAATGAAATGGGTTGATTTATCATTTCATAAGAAAAAAATTATTAAAATATATTAATTCATGAAAACTTGGCTTATTAGGCAAATCGGGCCTTGAATAGTAGGCCAAAAAGTGAGTTCTGGCTACTAGGTACGACATTATATATATATATATATATATATATATATTGTTGTAATCCACAAGTTAGTAGGAATTATTAGCTAGAGGATCATTACTACAACACTTAACGAATGATGATTGGAAGTACATGTTAAGTAGACAGACTATGGATCACATATCTAAGAAAGGTCAAGGGATTAAGACCGAAGCTACTTAGCCAAATTAATAATTCCTGGAAAGAGGAATTCTTCTTCTTCAGGCTTCTAGGAACAAGATTACCGCTTCTAGGGATAAGGTTAATCGGATTATACCTTCCTTGAGAGGTGGGGTGAAATGGTTGAAGTAGATGGCTGATTGGAGCCAGTCTGATTGTGGGAGTTGAACCGAGAAGTCCTCTGGATCTCCGTTTGCGGCAGCAGCGAAGTGTAGCAGACAGCTATGCGAGAACCTGATGTGATCTTAATGACGAAGTTAAGTCTGCAGTATGTGAGTATTGAATGAAAGACTAACCGGGTGTGGAGCGTTGTAGTAATCATTTCGTATTAGGGACTTAGGCGGAAGTTACGAGTGTGGGTGGTGACCGCGGAGGTCAAGTGGTCTATGGGTATTGGAAGTGTATTGACCTAATAGAGTATGTTAATATGTTATTATTTGTCAGAGTCTATTCTTTGTAATTAAATGACAAAACTCGACGGCCTTTAAATACCTTCCATATGTTCATTCATTGTGTTCCAGTACAAACCTAGTGGTACGCCTCAAGGGTCTGGTGTGTGTAGGAGTACACGCTGGTAGTAACGGTTGCTGAGGCAAGGTGTTATGTGTTGTGTAATCGCTGTGTTCGGAATGAACCGGGGTTCAGCGTCACAACAATATATATACATATATCACATAAATTATATATAAGTCGTACCTAGTAGCCAGAACATACTTCTCGGCCTACTATGCAAGGCCCGATTTGCCTAAAAGGCCGAGTGATTTTCTTTATTTTCAATAAATTGTTTCCAATTAGTTTATTTGAATTATTATTATATTATATTAAGAACATAAATTATTCACTTAAGTATGTTAGTTTAGGTTAGGTTAACATAGGTTAGATTAGGTAGGGTTGGTTAAGTTCGGTCATATATCTACGTTAGTTTTAACTCAAATTTAAACAAAAAATTAACCCATACATTATGAAATGGATAGCTTTATCACCCCATAGGGAAAAAATATTGATATATAAATTCAGGAAAACTTGGCTTATTAGGCCAAGTTTATAAATGTGTGTGTGTATATGTCGTACCTAGTAGCCAGAACGCACTTCTCAGCCTACTATTCAAGGCCCGATTTGCCTAATAAGCCAAGTTTTCATGAATTAATTGTTTTTCGACAACCTAACCTACCTAACCTAACCTACCTTTTTCGGCTACCTAACCTAACCTATAAAGATAGGTTAGGTTAGGTTAGGTAGGGTTGGTTAGGTTCGGTCATATATCTACGTTAATTTTAACTCCAATAAAATAAAATTAACATCATACATAATGAAATGGGTAGCTTTATCATTTCATAAGAAAAAAATGAGAGAAAATATATTAATTCAGGAAAACTTGGCTTATTAGGCAAATCGGGCCTTGCATAGTAGGCTGAGAAGTGCGTTCTGGCTACTAGGTACGACATATATATATATATATATATATATATATATATATATATATATATATATATATATATATGTATATATTATATATATGCGAACAAACAAGCCTGAATGGCTTGCGTGGGAACTTCTGGGGTGTGAGTTTTCACTTTATATATACATTTAATTTAAAATATTTCGCATCACGTTTACTCAACACAAAAATACCAATTTGATCAGAAAATTCAGAGACCAAATTATATAGAGGTCAACAAACAAACATGATTTATGAGGGAATTTGATCAGAGCAATTTAGTGCGGGCTACACGTCCCGGCAGACCCCCCCCATCCCGGGGGACCGTCAACACCAGACCCCCTGGGGGACCGTCAACACCAGACCCCTGGGACGACCGTCAACACACCAGACCCCCGGGGGACCGTCAACACCAGACCCCCGGGGGGGACCGTCAACATCAGACCCCCGGGGGGGACCGTCAACACCAGACCCCCGGGACGACCGTCAACACCAGACCCCCGGGACGACCGTCAACACCAGACCCCCGGGGGGACCGTCAACACCAGACCCCCGGGACGACCGTCAACACCAGACCCCCGGGGGGACCGTCAACATCAGACCCCCGGGACGACCGTCAACACCAGACCCCCGGGGGGGCCAACACCAGACCCCCGGGACGACCGTCAACACCAGACCCCCGGGGGGGGCCGTCAACACCAGACCCCCGGGACGACCGTCAACACCAGACCCCCGGGGGACCGTCAACACCAGACCCCCGGGGGGGCCGTCAACATCAGACCCCGGGACGACCGTCAACACCAGACCCCCGGGGGACCGTCAACACCAGACCCCCGGGGGACCGTCAACACCAGACCCCCGGGGGGGCCGTCAACATCAGACCCCCGAGGGGACCGTCAACACCAGACCCCCGGGACGACCGTCAACACCAGACCCCCGGGGGACCGTCAACACCAGACCCCCGAGGGGGACCGTCAACACCAGACCCCCGGGGGGACCGTCAACACCAGACCCCCGGGACGACCGTCAACACCAGACCCCCGGGGGGGACTGTCAACACCAGACCCCCGGGACGACCGTCAACACCAGACCCCCGGGGGGGACCGTCAACACCAGACCCCCGGGACGACCGTCAACACCAGACCCCCGGGACGACCGTCAACACCAGACCCCCGGGGGGGACTGTCAACACCAGACCCCCGGGACGACCGTCAACACCAGACCCCCGGGGGGGACCGTCAACACCAGACCCCCGGGACGACCGTCAACACCAGACCCCCGGGGGACTGTCAACACCAGACCCCCGGGGGGACCGTCAACACCAGACCCCCGGGGGGGCCGTCAACACCAGACCCCCGGGGCGACCGTCATCACCAGACCCCCCGGGGGAGGGGACCGTCAACACCAGAGAGCAGGGGGGGGGGGCGACGACCCACACACCGAGACTACCACAAGCGCCTCAACAAGTGACACACAACAATAATATAGCGCGGGAAAGTGGCCGCTGCTGATGACAGGCCGCGGTGCTGACAGGCCGCGGTGCTGACAGGCCGCGGTGCTGACAGGCCGCGGTGCTGACAGTATAATCTCTCGTCTGGCTCGTTGACGCCTTATATATTGACGCCAGATAAGCCATCTTCAAGCCGGGGTTGACTCGTGCCGCTGTGTTTACTGCCACGATGTCA